TTTTTTTTTTTTTTTAAGTAATCTCTACACCCTGCGTAGGGCTCGAACTCACTACCTTGAGATCAAGAGTTGCATGCTCTTCCTACTGAGCTAGCCAGATACCCCAAGTTCTAATGTTTAAAGGTACCAAGGAGAGACTGGTGCTCAGAGAAGAGGCACCTGATTGGATCTCAGAGAGGTAGGCAGGGCTTCAGCTTCACACTCATGCTGGTGTGGTTGTCCCTACGAGGAACTTTTGAGGTTTCAAGGAATTGGGAGAGTCATAAGATGGGCAGCTGAACTTTCAGCTCAGACTTGATTCCTGCTGTCAACCTGGGGACCAGGGGCTGAGGGGGCTGCAGGAGGGAAGCTGATGAGGAAGGTTGAGAGTGAAAAATTATCCACAGGAGGTGGCTTGCTGGGAGTGCTGTAAACACGGGTGGCATATGGAGCCAGCCAGACATTCTGACTACCAGTTCAGAGCAACAGAAGCTTCAGAAGGGAGAGGAAAGGGAGAAGGAAGACAGGATGATGTTAGCAAAGGTGAAACAGCATTTCAGGAACAGTATCCATGACCCCTTCTGACCCCTCCCTCCATGCAGGTTTTCTTACCTTGACTATGCAGAGGGCAGCCCATCTTGGTACTGAAGGCTGGACCCCCTCTTCCAAGGTCTGGGGTGATCCCATGCCTGCGACTGAGTGTGCTCAGATCCTTGGGGTGGGAGGGCTTTGAGGGGCATGGGCTATCCTGGCGGGGAGAGCACTGGGTCAGGAGGATTTGAGTGGAGGGTTTGGGCACTGGGAACCAGGAAGAGCGGGGGAAGGGGCAGAGCTCACTCCAGAGGCGGATCTGCTGGCCAGGACAGAGGACAGAGGGTGTATTGTCCAACCGGGAGGTTGCTGCAGCTGGGTGTGGAGCAGCACAGCACAGCTCGCCTCTTCCAAACTCCTTTCTGGGGAGGCGGGAGGGTGAGGGAAGTCGAGTCCCCCCTTCACTTGTGGCCCTGGGGGCTATGACGGTTGCCAGGAAACAAGGTTTTATTTGAGAAATAATGCTTCCCAGGAGCAGATGTGTAGCTCTCCCACTTCCTGAGAAACCAGATGCTGTGAGCTTGCTTAGCACTTTAGGGGACGCCTTTGGCACTAACTGGGACCCTCATTGCCTTGGGATCCAGAGCCTGGTGCTCGATTCTGTTTAGGAGAATCTAAGCTACGTGGACTTAACTCAGGATCCGAGCAGCCTAGAAGTGACCCTTGTAAAGTCGGATGCTATACCTGTACCCTTCTGGTCATTCAAGATTTATGGCAGGTTGACAGGGCGCACCGGTCCTGGGATCTACTTCTGAAGATGGGGGTTGTACCAGCGCCTACCTTTCCCTTGGATTTCAAGTACCCTCTTGGGACACAGTACAGGGAGCTCCTTTCTTTACCCTTCCTGTGCCCAACCAACATGAATCTCTCTGAAGTTAGCCTTTCCCACTCGTATTCTTTTATTTTTTGAGGTGCGGAGAGGAGGGAGAGAGCGTGCCAGCTGGGGAGGGGCAGAGAGAGGAGAGAATCCCAAGCAGGCTCTGTGCTCCACCCCACAAACCATGAGATCATGACCTGAGCCGAAAGCCGGACTGGGCCACCCAGGCGCCCCTAGTCTCCTTTCCATCGTCATTTACCCAGCCTCTGGCGAGTGGCTGGAAATGAGGGCTTGGAGAAAGTGGCAGACCGATGCGGGCAGTGGAGGTGGGTTCCACAGGCAGCCTGGGCAGCGGCCTGTTTCCTTCCCACCTAAAAGCTTCCTTTCCCACACGGAAAGCTGAGTCAGCACAGCATGCTGAGCCTCTTACCCCTCCACATCTGAAGAGATCAGTGCACCGTCAAGAACCACAAATGCAGTTGCTGCGATGGGCCTAGGAAAGCCACTTGTGTAGCTGGGCTCCCGTGCCAGCAACCCCCCCTGCCCAATCTTCCCCCAAATTGTTGACTGAGCTTTCCTGGGCTTTCTCTGCTTCACCCCATTGTGACCTTAAGGATTCTCTGCCACGGTCCTAACCTCTTTCCTGCCTTGCAACAACGGAACAGCCCATCTCTAGCCATTTGGAAACTTCCCACCGCATCTGGGGCCTCCGTTGTAACCCAGACCAGCTCATCAACAAGAACCCAGCCTGCCTGTGCCATGTAGCACGGAATGTGGAGGCAGTGCCTCTGCAGACTGCTGAGTGGAGGGTGGAGGCACGGCCTCCAGGCCATGAAGTAGGAAATGGACTGCAGGTACTTTCAAATATTAAAGGTTACCCACCAGGCCAAAATGCTGGAGGGGAGTGGATGCTAATTTCCAGTTCTTGGGCCTCAGTGAAGATTCCCCTGGTAACCCCACCCCTAGCCCAGGACAGTACCTAACGCCCAGAGGACTTCAGAGACAGGGGTGGGGAGCCTGTAAAGGCACAGGAGTGGAGTATATGGTCAAAAGAATTTCAGCATTGAAGTGAACTTTAAAGATCAGATTTATTTGGAGAAAACAAACAAAAAAAACCCCCACAACCCAAAGGATGGGATTTTACATCTCAAGACATCTCCCAGGTATTAAGTCTACAGATTACAAATCATTTTCATAGAAGATATTTTGTACAAATTTTACACGTATTAAGGAGCGGGACATAACCCGTTTCTGTTATAACGGGGGCAGGAGAGGGGAATGGGAAAAAAAAAAAAGTTTTGGAGACAACTATTTGGAAGTAGACCTGTAGAGGGCAAACCCTACCTTTTCATCATCTACAGCAAATGGTTTGTTTTTTTCAACCAAAAAAAACAAAAAACAAAAAAACCCCAACCAAACAAACCCAAAAAACAAACCCCTTTCAGCCTTGGGTATCTCTAAAAGCCACTTCCCGGCTACTGGCCAATCCAAGCCAATTATTTAGTTACTTCACTTGGTAAGCCTCTGTATGTCCACTGGCTAAACGATTCATTCATCATGCCCACTGCTGCAGCACTCCTAAACCAACAGGTCTGCGTGGCCAGACAGGGTCTAATCTAGGACCGATGGGTGAAGGGCTTGTGAACGAGAGACTGAGATCACCCCGAAGGATGCCGTCTACCGGGCTGACGGTACAAAGGTGCACGTAAAAGCAGGCAAGTTAAGCTACTGTGTTGCAAGAGAAACCAGGACCTTGTCACACAGTTCTCTCCATTATCATTTATTCTCTCAAGGGAAGCTAAAAAAACAAAAACAAAACAACAAAGAAACACAAACCCACCAAAAAACCACACATTGGTTGAGGCCACATTATCAATCCAAACATTGGTGTGGGATTTCAATGGAGAGAAGGAAACTTGTAAAAACAAAAAAAGCCCCAATCAAGGTCATAAGAACGGCTCACAATTTGACCCTATTTATCCACCCTCACTCACCACCTAAGACCGTTAATTCTATAATCTTCTGAGGTGTAAAAGGAGTCAAAGAAGTAGGAGCAGGAATGGAGGAGGGAAGGAGTGAGAGTCAAAAGACATGAAGGAGCCAAGATTTGCTTGAGAAAAGCAGTGATTCCTCATTAGCTTCTGCTCCCTGGGGCGGGTCTAGAATGCCTAGATCAGGTATGTGATTTAAATAGAAGCTGCTTTCTGGGAGGTGACAGCAAAAAGTGGCATTAAGATCAGAAGCCCAGGACGAGAGTCTACATTTTTAAAGCTTCAAGATTTCAGCAGAATGTAGATGGATGTGAACTTTCAGGAAGGATGGCGTTTAAGGAAGGGCAAAACCAGGACATACAAGACTTGGGAATTCCCATGACCCATAAGTGCTTCCTGCTCCAGGAAGTAACCACTTGTTGTTTACTGGAGGTCATACCATTTCCCCTTATTACTGGTGCAAAATAATCCATCGCCTCCCCGCAGCTTCTTTTCAAACCACAACTTTTCCCACTTATTTTGGTCACTGAGCAGTCCTTATTCTTTTGTGGCCTATAGACTCACTCTCCACTACCCCCCTGGGGGGTAAAAATGAAGGAATTCCCCCTAGGCTGGCCCCAGTAACTCAGAATTAAGAGGGGCTGGCAGCCTCCTGGAGACTAAAAAACAACTTGAGAGACTAAGCCTACCTTTCCGAGGATGGAAAATTTATTCAGGTAATGTTTGAGAATTCATATGTGCCACAATAGGATATTAAGAATAAAAGATAGAACTCTCACTCTTCCTTAAACCTGTCCTACTGCCCAACCAGATCCAGACACTGCATCACCGTCACTGCCATTTTGCTAAATGGAGGCCCCCAGGCACTAATCACACAGGCAACTGCATGTGTCGTAAAAATGCACAACTTTTCCATTAAAAGCTGTACGTCTCTTTCTCTCTGGCTACATTGGCGATTCTCCAGTTAGTTCAATACTTTAAAGGCTGCAGCAGCATGCAAAAGAATTTCATTTCATTTTGTTTTTTTGTTTTTTGTTTTTTTAAAAAAAAGTTAAGAAAGGTCTCCAGGAGATGGTGAGTTTTATTGTCTGGATAGAGGTTTGATTTGCTCTCGAATGTTCCAGGGTGGAGAGACTAGGAGAAAGCACAGGATGCAGAGGTCTATTCGGTGTAATCTTCTCCCTCGTTCTCATCTTCGCCATCAACGGAGAGAGCAGCATACTTGCTTGCAGAACTGAACTTCTGGAATAGACGAGTGAGAAAATCACCAAAGCCTTGAACTCGCACATCAAAACCCAAGAAACAGGACAATGATACTTGGGCAAAAGGGAGGGGCCAGGTCAGGCCCACCTCCTTGTTCATTAGCATTTTACGCTGGCCAGGAGTAGCTAGGGAGGCTAGGCCAGAGGCCCAGGTGTTCTTACAGGAGACCTCCACCTCCTTTTATCTTGGAGAGGGAGTAAGAGTAGTAAGACTGCAAGGCAGAAAACTGGAAAAAACTAAGTTTCTTTTACAATTTCAAACAAGCAACGATGCCTGATTGACAATTTCCAACCACTCGGATTCCAGCCCCAAGCATAAAGGAGTTCAATGGCAAACGTGAGCTGAGAGAAATCTATTAGCATCTAACACTTACGGAAGCTGGATTTTCTTCAGGTTTCTTTGGCTCAGGTGCAGATCGGGAGTCTTGATCCTTTTTGCCATCTTTCCTGCAGAGATGTAAGTGTAAAACCATGTCTTTAGGAGAGGACTCTCTCAACACCCACAAGCAGGTGGGAGGCACTGAACGGGCCCGTCCAGCCAACAGTGCTTGCTATCTGGACATTTTGCTTCCAGATCCTTGGAACTGTTAACTGTCCACACTGGTTGACTTTCCTTTGTTTACCATAGGAGATATGACAACACTTGGAGAACCAAGAACTTCTTAACTACAGGGACACAGGTATCCAGCATCAGATGAAAGATTACAAATGGCAAGAGAGAACACGCATACCTATCTGACTCCTTCCAGTGGTCTTTGTTCCCTCCGTCTCCTGGACCACGGCTGGAGTTCCCACTTTGGCCTTTTGGGACACTCACCCCATCTACTTTGTTTTCATCTGTGTGAAGATGCAAAAATAAATTGAAGGCAAGTAAAATATTAAGTACTGTCCCTCTCCTAAGTTTCCTTTCAGCTGCAGAAAAGTGTGCCCATGTGCACTGAGGGAAACTCAACCTCACCCCAACCCAGATTTCTCTCCTAAACCCTTCTTTCCACATTCCTTTCGCCCCCAAATAAGACCCACTAAAAAATTCCACTTTAGGGTTACGCCATCATGAAGAGCAAACTGGAAATAAGGACTATGACGTTGTTGTAGTGACCTTGGCCTTGCAGATGGTGACATTTCTAATCTGGACTGAGCATGTTAATTTCCTTCCGATTCTTTTTTTCCCCTTTCAAAGAAATGTTCTACCAGGAAAGGGCAGGACTCCATGCTTTTTCCAAAGAGACCACTTTTGCCCTCTACTGGCAAGAAAAGGTAGATAATCTAAGAACCTTTAATACAAAAACAGGTGCAAAATTACACTTAAGTTCAATTATTTAGGGACTCCTTTTATCTTTATAGGCTTTTTATTTAGGCCTCTTATCTATGTGAAAAACCAACTTCCTTTTGGTCTTACCTTTCCTTGCTGGTCCTTCCTCAGATGGTTGAGCCGGAACTACTTTCCCCCCACCACTGGAAGGAAAACATATAATCAAGTTTATCAGTCTTAGGGAAAGAACCGGTAAGAAACTTATAAAGTAGTAAGCTTTACAGAGAACCAAAAATACAGACTTAACACTGTGGAACATTAAAGTATAGAAAAGACAACAATGAAAGCAATTATACGAACACTCACTAAGTACCATGTCCTGTAGAATCATCACGATCACACAAGGTGAATACAATTCTCTATTTTACACATGAGGATCCTAAGACTTAGGGAAGTGAATCGACCCCCAAAGCCACGCTGCCAAATGTGGTTGCAGCAGGTTCTGATGACCAGGTTGCAGGTTTCAAGCAGCCAAAGTGATGCCAACCAGTTACCAAAACTCTAGAAAGCTGAACAATTAGCTTTAATGAGCCAGCTCCAGCACACCACTGAATTTGAATTGAGAGCAAAGAGCATAACTTAAAAGCTGCTATGTAAGGCACTTTCTTTTTCTTTATAATTTTTTAAAATCCCTGAGCTGAATCCAAGTGTCAGTGGCTCAACTGACTGGGCTGCCCAGATACCCCATCCAGGGCACTTTCTACCACGATACCACAATGTTTAAGATTCTACAGCTAAGCAGCTGCTGTGCTTCTAAGCGGACTCACCTTGTAGGGGACTGCTGCTCTGTGTCTGAGCTCTGAGATCGAGCAGGAGGGTTAGAACTTCGCTTCACCCAAGCATTCTCCTTTGGTGGAGGGGCTGGCATTACCTTTAGAGGTTGTTCAGGTTTGGGAGGCTTAGAAGTTGGAGAGTGACAGTCTTCCTCCTTATTGAGTGTTTCATTTTCTAGAGACTTCTCACTCTCTCTCCTTCGTGCATCTGTTAAGTCAGAGTAGGAAGGTTAAATTATTGAGAGAAATTATTATACAACCATCTATTACAATCAGACAGAATAGAAAATGGTCCACACCCAAGTTTACTGTTTTTCATCATTATTCTTAAATATAGACCCCATCCGACTCCCAACAGATAAGTTATCCCCGAACTAGTGGTTACCAAATGTTACTCTGAGAAAATGTTTTATGGATGCAAGAAAAATAGGAAATACAACAGCTTCTCAAGGACAGCCACCTCCTTTCCTAGGAACTAGTACTCTTTACTTCGGGATTATAGCCTTGCTACATTTTGTGTTAAAATGTTTGTACTTGGAGACGGATACACATACATGTGTGAAGAGGACCCTGATGCAGCCTCAAATCCACATACATAGAACAAAATGGGATATACATTTATGAAAAACAAAACCTACATTATGTTTTTTTTTTTCTTAAAGGCACTAAATATCTCCTCAAAACTAAAAGTTTATTTTGTTAGGTTCTTCCTACATTAAGTGCAATCTCCTCAGGAGGGATATAATCAACCCAACCATCATACTCCCACCTCGCTACAAAGAGAGGCATTATTGTCCTGTCACTAAAAGGCTACTCCAGTATGAATGTTTGACAGAAAACTTCTGCAACACTTGGCTGAGGTGATTTGGAAATTCATCCTTGAGCCATACTTTGAAGTGCTCAAGCACAAATCAGTTTGGAGGTGAGAGGAGAAAACAAAAAAACACTGGCTCACAGTAATAAGGTAAGGGAGGTGTTATAATTGAACTGCTATTTCCAAAACACTAAACATATGTGTGACGAATCAATAAATTCAAGGCAGGAAGGAAGGATGGATGAAGAGCAGAAGATCATTGCTTGAGACACTGCTCCGGTCGCACAGGACATCCAAAAAGGCTGGCCCTGGGAGCAGCTCAGAGAGAGCTGTAGGACTGTGACTGCTCTAAGTAAAGGAAAACTCTGGAATGTCCACAAAAGGAAGAGAAAATCCAGCAGTCAAGTATACTCTTTAGTGGAAGCTTATTATAAAACAGGTCACCTACGTTGCTTCTGGCACCTATTTCTCAGATTTTTCAAACCATGAGATGTGACACTCCAATCAATCTATGCTAACCCAAATAAAATGTCCATGACTGAATTTAACACCCCAAAGGCTCTGCATAGTTTGGTTATGGCTACTTTATGGAAAAGGGCGATAACATGATACCCACCCTGGTCTGACTTACTTCTGCCAGATGTGGCTGAGGTCCCAGTCTGTGATGACTCACTTCCTGTCCTGGACCGTTCCCGTTCCTGAGTTTCTTCACTTCGCCAGCTTGGGTGTCTGTATAAAGAGATTAAAAAAACAAAACAAAACATATGTCCAGCTAAATGAAGGCCATTATGGACCCATGCTGCCCCTTCAAGAACCATCACTTATTGATATTTTATCATGCTTGCTTTACTTGTGGGTGTGTGTGTGCATCTTGTCTCTCAAACCATCTGAAAGCTGCAGACACGAAGATACTTTGGCTCTAAATACTTCAGCAAGCACCAACTAGGGTTAAGAACATTCTCCCACATAATCTCCAGCCCTCCTCCCTTACTGGTAACACAATTCAACAAGTCATTCAAAACTAGGCCATTTTTCAGAACGTTTCTACCCTATTAGATCCAGTGCCACCTTTCAATAATAAACATTTTAAGCAACGACTCCTTTATGATCCTGAAACACCCTTGGATAAAGTAAGTAACATACACACAAGTAAAAATAAATGGAAAATAACTTACAACTTACGTCTAATATAGGCAAAAACATTTTCTCTCTACTTTATCCCCAGTAACTTGGAAAGAGGTTCAACCACTTGCCTCACCAAGGTGGGGCTTTACTTCATATACTAAAGCAAGGTTTGGCAATTTTCCTTACTGGGTCAAATAAACTTTATTTTTATTTATTTTTTTAAAAATGTTTATTTTGGGGGAGGGAGGAGGAGGAGGAGGGAGAGAGAGAGAGAGAGAGAATGTGAGTGGGGGAGAGGCAGAGAGAGAGGGAAACAGAGAATCCCAAGCAGGCTCTGGGCTGTCAGCACAGAGGCCCGACATGGGGGCCCAAACTCATGAACTGTGAGATCATGACCTGATCTGAAACAGAGAGTCAGATGCTTAACCGACTGAGCCACCAGGGCGCCCCTGATCAATTTTATTTATAAAAAAAGGAGCAGGCCATAATTTGACAACTCCTATATTAAATTAGCACCAATTACCACCAATTTATATCTGTCACAGTTTAAGCCCGGTTAAGCCCTTTTACAAATTGTGAGCAACAGGCAACTCTTCACTGGATGAAAAGTGTCCCATACACTCCAGCATGCCTAGCAGTCCCAGCCCACGTCCACTAAATGCTAGTGACAACCAACAAGGTCAAAATTTCCCAAGTGTGCCCTAGGGATGCACCCCCCCCCCCCCCCC